GCTCTTAGCTGGGTAAGTGTGTAAGCAGACATAAAGATATGAATGCTAAGGCATCGGGTGTTAAGATAATGCATGTTCGACAACACATGTAAGCAAATTACAAGCCAGAACACGTAATCATGCAGCTGTTACCGAAAGAACCTAGCTATTCATTATACTAAATGGAAATATGGATTTGTTTGAACTCGAGGCAGATATCCATACTTGTATACTGATGGCCAAACGAGTTGCAGTTTACCATGTATTGTCGACGAACCGCGGCGAATAAGACCATATTCATGAAGCGTTCCAAGTATTTCGTGACAGAGATCATGCCTCCGTTTAACACTCATTAGCATACCTAAAACGACCATAACCGACATCTCATTCCTCCAACTCAATCAAACTCGCAAAAAAGTATTTTTTGTAACGATTTTCATTTGGTGTACACTTATGATAAACAATGATTTATACCGAGTAAAAAAGCAATTGCTTGGCAAGTCCTGCAGGGTAATGGGGGTTAAACTACAACATCAAACTATGTATGAGTTTTCGGCTTATGTGTTCATCTAGCAGATATGCTGCGGAATAATAGTAGTAAGTGGGAATTGAATGCCAACGTCGAGGCAATATGGCGACAGTTGCGGTTAATGTACTCCGTGAGAAAGCTAAAAACGAGAATACCCCCTTCTATACTGCCTCCTCAGATTTACGTGACATGTTAATCCCGTTCGAAGGGATAATTAATATATTCCAAAGTAGTACAGTTTAGACAACCAAGTGATGGGAGCAATGGGCAAGATCCAATCGTTTTTTGAAAATATCCGGGTTTGGGAGGAAACCGCGAAGTTTGGGAAAGAATTTCAGGGTTATGAAACCCATAAAGAAAATAATTCCGCCGGCATTCCAGGCGGATATACATTGCACACAAGTTCAGAAGGTTACCTCTGGGATTGGGGTTATGGCTGCGTTTTAGCAAGCAACGGCATACATGATTACGGTCAGTCATTATTTGGTAGACTAATATGAGATCGCCGCGCAGACTTCAGTAACGGCCACTGAAAACTCCAAGTGACTTCAGCCTTTGATGATAGAACAGATTTTGCAGGTCCTTGACGTTCATTTTGGCTCTGCGTTGTGGCTTCTCTAGCACTTCTAAGTCACGCTTCTACCAAGGTTACCAAGCTTAGATGACGTATTCAAAGTGAGGACGCCCGTAAGAATTGTGTATCATGGGAAAGATGAATGGATCAAACCCTCCGATTGCTCCCGCAAAAAGCCGACGCGCTGGTCAACTCACTTCGCAGCTGACTCTGACTGCTTTGAACAGTTAACGTCATTTTGAATGAGCGCACCAAGGTCTCGTTCTTGGGAAATTGTTTAAAACACATGTGACCCAAGCCTATACACCTAGTCATGTCTATGGCGCAATTGAACGGCGTGACATTTTTCCACATTGAACCGTAGTGTATTCAGAGCCGATCAGTTTAAAATCGTGTTGAGTACAACCTGGAGCTTTTCGCGGTCGTTAGGTTCTCTGATCGCTCGTCATAACAAGATATCATCGGCGAAGAAGAGGAAATCGGAAGTAGTTTCCCTCGCCAGATCGTTCATGAAAATCAAAAATAGACGGGGCCCGAGCACCGACTTTTGTGGTGCGCCGCACTCCACCTCAGTAGTGTCGGACAGGGATTCTCGTACTCCCAATTCCAACCGACGTTCGTGCAGGAAATTATCTATCCATTGCAGCAGTAGATCACCAAAACCACAGACCTGAAGTTTATGGAGGAGAATTCGGTCGTCTAAGCGATCAAACGCTTTTGAGAAGTCCACGTAAATTATATCGACTCCTGCTCTACCATTAACTGCTTCAGTTCAGCTACTGCGTGCAGTTAGTAGGTTGGCAGTGCATGAGCGCTTTTGTCGGAAGCCATATAGCTCTGGTGCTATCATCTTGTGATTTTCCAGATACTACATGAGTGCATCAGCAATGATAGTCTCCATAACCTTGGAAAGCACAGGGAGTAGCGTCTTAGGACGGCAATTAGTTGGGTCAGTGAGACTGCTTCCGTTAATACTAGGAGTGATGATCCCTTGCTTCCATATTGTTGGAATATGTTTCTCTTCTATACAACACTGATAGAATCTACCCAGAGGTTCCATTAGATCACTGGCTGCTGACTGTAAAGCCGTGAGTCGAATGTTATCGACACCAGGGGAACTGTGGATATGCAGAGACAACAGTTACTTTGACACACTTTCTGCAGTAAAAGTGCCATTGGATACAGCTGAGGTTGGGACAATACAACCATGGATAACATTTGGGCACCTTACTTTCTGGAACGCTTGTGAGTAATGGCACCGGAAGAGATTGGCTGCTTCCGCTGCTGATCGCGAGCACCCATCAGTCATGATCATTAGTGGGATTCCGCGTTGCACCTTACGGAGGAAATAAACATGCCTGTATAAGGGTTTGCGGTTCGTACAGAATCTCTTCATTAATTCTTCGTGATGCGTCAGGTTGTCCTCGTAGACGAAACTCACACATAATTTACGCTATGCCACATATGCTGTTCAACTTTCGGAGTTTGTGGAGTACTTGTAATATTCCGTGTAATATTCTGTCGTACAAATGTGAAGTTCCACCAGGCAGTCTATTATTGCAAGGCACGTTTATATCACAGTGCAAAGTGATTCGCGATTTGGGTGTGCGATATTCCACTAACTTCAACTTTTCGGAACATTGCGACCTCCAAGTTTCAAAAGCCATGAAGACTATTGGCTATATCTGTCATAAATTTCAACTCACAGAATCTCGTATCTGGCTTTACAAAACATATGTGTTACCTGGCATGGAATACTGCTCACAATTACAGTCGAATCTGCGGAAATCTGACCAGCATGCTTTTGAGAGGGTACAGCGACGCTTTACAAAGAAGTTGTGCGGATATTCCTCCAAGATGACCTACAGAGAGCGCAGTGAAAAACTTGGACTTGACCCACATTGGCAACGGATAATGAAGATGAACTTGTGCTTCCTATACAGAATAATTCACCATCACATGCACAATTATGCTAACTGTGTCCATATGTCCGTTAACACTAGATACGAGCTACGAAATAAGGAGACAACGGTCATGATTCCAAAGTTCAATACGCGAATTAGGGAGCGTTTCTTCTTAATACACTGCTCAAAGCTTTGGAACGAACTTCCAAGAGCTATCAGAACTTGTTGCACATTGCGTTTGTTTAAGCTTTCGATAAAAGATCATTTAACCGTTCAAAATGTGATAATAAAGTTTCGAACAGCACAGTCCTTAGATAATGCTTTTGAGAACGGAGTTAATGGTGCCTGAAAATGCATGTGGTCAAGTGCACAAGTGGTTAGATTTTGTTGACCCGCAGCACTTTATTCTCTCTTCTTTTTTTCGTGTGCGATCAACTCTCATGTGACTGCTAAAAACTTGTCAGACGCTAGAACAAGAGGAATGTAAATATTTTGGACCGCTCCGAGCTACACAAATTTTCATTTTGTGCTCACATTTTTTAAATTTATTATACCATGATATGAAACTGCTGTACCATTATTTGATCCGTCCCTTCTGGGAACGGCTTCTCGCATCGTCGAGCCATATACAATTTATTTATTTATTTATTTAGTAAGCCTCACAAGGACATGCATTTGCGTGTTCTGCTCCTCAGAAAGGACTCCCTTCTCTTTTGACGCTGGAAGGATTTATGCCCAGAGGCTTGCGTTACCAGTGCAATAACTGCCCTTGGGAAAGTGTCCCAGACGATTTCTAGGGGACATTCAGTTAAGAAGGTTAAAGATACCTCCTTAACAAGCGCGGACAACATGTTGTAATGCGTGGCGGTATACACTTTATCATCCTCTTCTAAAGGATATTTCGCTTAACATAAACAGGTAAACTGTAGAGTCACATGATCACTGCGACTCAGTGGTGTACTTGTAATTATTCGGTTGATCATGCGCTCTTCGTTTGTGAACACAAGATCAAGCATCAACGGCTTTCGGCCGTTCGAAATCTGGTGGGAGAGGTCTTGTGGTTATGCAGAGGGTAGCTGGAAATTACCGCTATTTTCAGGTAGTGCCTACGATATGAATGGGACCTTATGTCTTGCTCAAAGCAACCTGGAGCAGGTGGTTTAGTTTGGAGCTCATTTCACACGTAGGACCTGGTGGACTGTCCATTACAGCTGTAAGACATGTGTCCTTGTTTCACAACCATAGCCGGCACCAAAGCGAACCTGGGGCGCGGACTTCTGGGTAGCCAATAAGTTCACATCGGAGGTTAGCCTTGTAATACAGAATTACTCCAATGGCTATTCCAGCTCTGTCATTCCGAAGCAGTGACATATCAGGTAAATTGACTTCAGAATCTGCAATCTCAAGACTTAACTAGGTCTCCATATTCATAATGAGACCCCGCTCTTGTGACGCCTGGCACTCTCTAAGTTCAGCCAACTTACTAAGAAGATCTTGAGCGTCATCATACAAACGTGATAGTGTTTTTGATGTTAGAAGTGTGTGGGTGTACAACAAATTCGTGTTTTTTCAAACCGACCGTTCATCACTCGGCCGCTAATCGTTTTTTGAGTGTGTTATTAGTTCTCGAATTTCAGGCAATCTGCATGGTACTATTGAGCATCCTACATCGAGGCGTTCTATCGTGTGTCTCCCTGTCCTGTCAAATGTCGCGATTGTTGTGTGATTCAGAAAAAATTCCAAGTAAGGTATGAGTCCCCTCGAGTAAAATATAAGGGGAAATGTTTGTGTTGCGCTTTTTAATTAGCGGAGTTAACAGAATATAGTGAACCTGTGATGCTTAGTACGGTTTTAATAACTCTAGAATCGCACCATGTGTCAGTCACCGAATGGCCTCCCATCTGTTTTTAGTCTGAAGACACAAACTATGAAGAACGTTCGCATGATAAGCCATAGTGCTCTTAAATAACGGTCATTCGGCCGGTACGCATGCTTCTTTTCTGCCGCACTTTAGTGCACCAACCGTATCCTATCCGACAAAGCAATACGGAGGAGTGGTCAAGGAATCTAGCAATTATGCTCGCGGAACACTGGAAAATGCAGCCCGAAGGTCGTCGGATGCGAGCGGATGATCACCATACGCAAAACGATGCGCACGCAAGATCCAAAGATGGCATCTCCTCTCCGTTTAAAAATCATACTGAGTTCCGTAAGTTGGCATTTAGCATCCTATCAGATGAAGCAAAGTAACTAGATGTAGCGCATAACCAACTTGAAATAGAACACTGGTTCCCGATTGTTGGCGTTTCATGCTGCACGGAAAGAACCAGTTCAGTAAATAGAGGATTTACACAGCAAAGTGTAGAGATTAAGTGTTTTACATGGCGGTAGTACAGGTAGCAAATGTCTGGTGCAGGTTAAATATGCAATATTCTGCACGGTTATTTAAAAGTTTGACATATTAGTTTTGGCCATGCAAATCCTATAGGAATATTTTCTAGAGGCACTGTAAATCCACGCCTAGTCGTTACTAGTCTACACTAATCTATACAGCACCGCGCTTAGGCTGAAATCGTATTCACATCGGCAGCATTCATGAGCCTCACCGAGGCTTCGCTACGCTACTACAGGCTAGTACACGCTACTTAACTACGCACTGATGATGTCATTCCAATTGGTGGTGAAACGATTGTGACCAAATTACCAAGCTCAGTGAATAGTTCAACTGTCATCTAAACAATCTGAGCCACAAGTCTTCATTTCTGTAACGTGGAGTCTACTTCTAAGAAGAGCCATTGGACTGTCTGTTAGTGTGCTAGTGTGCTCTACATCGGTCATACAAAAACACAGCTTGTGACAGCAAGCAATGCACATGCGCATAATATTGAAGCTGAAACAGAGTACAGCATTATTCAATTATTTATTGGTGATTATTAGTAAATCCGAAGGGTTATCGACCACACACTATTAACTAAAGGTAAGATATCCCACAACACGTTACACATCACAGCGGACGTCATACGTTTGACGAAGGGGATCACAGCGAACTGCAGAGAAACTGTCGTTGCATTGTGCGCATGCTTAATAAGGAGGACGACTGGTGTGCTTTTAAGGTTGGCCATCAGAATAGTACCAAGTGAGTCCCTATCAAACTAAACGTCTCAATGAACTTACCTACTACAGTAAGCAGAAAAAGAAAGGGCTATTTAATGACCACCGGATTATTGCTAATTGCATGTCACAACTCGTTTTATTTGGATAAATTGAACGCCTTAGTTACACACGAGAGAATAGATAGATCTTGCTGTAAGTCAGTGTGCAGGCTGGTCGGAATACCGTGATGCGTTTTACCAGTATTTCGTCAAGGGTTAACGTGTCCTGAATCCAAATCCGCCTTACTACTTCAAGGTTTTATGGACGCAGCCAACTAATGTAATGTGAGACCGTCTCAGTATTAAGCTACATATACTGTCCGCTTGCTGCGGAACATCTGATTGATAAGAGAAATGATGACCAGGTAACTATTGAAGGACTCATTTGATAGCACCAGTTGTAGTTGCCGTCCCCACCGGTTGGACGACGGCACTGCGGCAGATCCTAGGCTCTTTACGAGCAAAGGTTACTAAATGTCATGCTCTCAGTATTTATCCGGGTTGCACTGTGATTGGCATTGAGCAAAAGCGAAGTAAATTCGAATTCAACAAATAGGATTTTAGTTTGTTCATTCATCAATCTATTCCTTACAAAATATCATGCCTTTAAGTCCTTTTATTTTGAGTTCTTACCTGCGTTGTGACCAAACCACATGAACAGTCTTTCGCGAGATTTAATAAAACCTAACAGATGTTCTATCACCAAACTAGCTAATTGCTGTTGGATTCAATTAAACCGAAAACGGAACACTTAAGTAAACAATGTAGGAAAGTGTAGTTTGTAAGTTAAAAATAATGAAGCTTTGGGCTCTCACGCAAAACTATAGTTAAAATACACTTGGCCACCATTGCCTGGGGTTTCTCCAGGCAAAATTAAACAACTTTGGTTGGAACATCGAGTTCCACGCATATTTTCCGGTAATGTGCCTAATCTTATCGTTTGTGAACTTCAGCCATCGATTTACGAGGAAGAGGAACATTGCTACGTCAAAGGAACTCATATCCCAGAGACAAGCCTAACACTGGCAACGGTATGAACTACCGAAGGAGGCTGAACAAGCGGTTTATCCACGGTCTGACATTTGCAAACTTTTTAACCCTATTTTATACTGTTACATGAAAATGTGAATGTAAATTTTTTTGAATATACGAAATGTACAGTTGCATTAGGCTGGTTTAAATTACTGGTATATGTAGGCCGCATTTCAACAAGTCACAGAGTGCCAAAACTTACGCAGCTAGCACTGTGGAGGAAACACACAGGTTCCTAGATGAATGTTGTTGCTACTGAGTCCAATATGGCTTACGCTCATCTGCTACGGATTATCCATATTCCAAGCAACTCAATACCCTATTGTGTAACGTCTAAGAGCCTTCGTGGAGCTCATGGATGAATGGAACTTACGTGTTAGTTAAATTATTTGGTAATTACAAAGTAACGCGGGGTCAGATATCCACATAAGTTGCCTTCATTCGAGCGATTGAATACCTTGTTAGCAGCAGGGTCTGCGTTAAAAACCTACGCGTAGTACGTCGCAGCCTTCTACCTTGTACACAAGCACCATCCGGGAATCGAAGTGATCACCCAACATAAGCGGTAAACATGAATTGGTACTTGCTCTACTAAACCAGGTAAATATGCAGCTTCATGTTCTGAAAACGCAAACAGGATAGATGAAATGATTATGGTATTCCACCCATCCCTAATTGACCAACACATTAGAAGATCAACTGTTTGTTATAGTTTGTTGTAGATATACCGAGAAGTCTTGAACCTTTAAATTCAAAGCTACAGAGCACACACGTTTTGTGCAATTTTCGGGCTAATCTAAGCTCAATGTTGTAAGACAATGAATATTCTACAGTAACAATTCGCAAGCATCCTGATCAGATGTATACCATGATCTCGATAGCTGTCAGCTACTGCAGGCCAGTTTGTTGGATTATCGCGCAAGTTCACAGTAGAAATGTGTTCTCATAGCTTACCGTCTTGACGTAAAATATATCTGGTTTAGATTACCTGCAATTTCATGCACCAATTCAAATGCTCCCCTTATCAGCTCCAGTGTCAGTGACAATGATTACACTTAGGACAGTACAGCTAACAGCGCAATTCCTCTTCTTCACAGCGGGTAGACATCAGTGATAGTGGTACGTTAACATGGCACCAGTTCTTGCACATGCATCATTCAACCTTATTTAAACATGCGATTTTGTTTGAAAGTACAGACACAGTTGCTCCAGTACATGCGAGGTCTAGTTCTGGCCGCGAATCGAGTATGCACGGTTTGACAAGCTATGGGGTTGCCAACAAAGAGAAGAGAAAGCTGCTTTTGTCGACCAGTTTCAAGTTTTAGCTGCAATTTCTATTCCAGAAAGTAATTTCATAACTTTTTTATGGCAGTTGATACACCTTTTTTAAACTCACTGCTAACCTGCCACATCAAGTCAAGTCAAAATAAGCTTTATGAATAATAATAATAGGCCCATTTTCAAGCGCTTCATTACAATTGCGAACCTACTGGATGTTAATTTTAAACTAACATACGTATTTGGGGATAAAAATGGAATGTGTGCACAACTGTGATGCCAACATGCCTCGCGCAGCATGTTTATGGTTTGCACTGGGCCAACAAGCAGACGTGAAATATAAGGCACAATATTATTACGATACGATGACGTGCAGCAGAATAAAATTTGGAATTTCGAATGCGTAGAAGAGAAAGTGAGCGTTTCTAAAACTCGGCGTGCAGTGGACAAATTTGTTCACTTAGTATTTCAGAGGGAAAATTATTGTAGGCACTAAGATATCAGGCAAGGAACAAAACAACTGAAATTCTCCAGGCAAGCCATTTCATTTAAAACTGTGCTTTTCTTTCACAGAAGTAAGGTGTCTTTTTTGGAAGTAGTCTAAGTATGATGACAAGGGAGCGGCATAAGCAAAGGGGGCTAATTCAAGATGTCACAAATTCAACTATTAAAGTACAGGGTACTGAAAGCACCTTAAGTTATAGGGCATACATAGGAAGTGTTCCGACTTTATGGGAATTTTCACAGGCATGTGGAGGAAGTAATGTTCCGAGATGAAGACACACCGAGGTACTTAACCGTGGATGATCTGGGTATGGGATTTTCCTTCGCAGTAAAGTTGCAGGACTGCGACGTATCACCTCGAAGTGGAGACAGATCATGTGGATGTGAATGGCGGTCAACTAGGACCCAAGAAGAAATATTCAAGTAAACGCCAAAATGCTTACTAATAAAAAATCGACTAATATATTTCTGGGCAAGCAATTACATCTGGAGGAATGTTTAATGGATTGCGCAAGCAAAGCATAGTCCTTGTGCATTAGTTCAAGGAAGAATACCCGGAAGCAGTGCAAGTAGTGGGGTATTATACGTACAGTACTAGCGCTCAAAATTATCACGGAAGACTTCTTAATTCTGATAGCATAAAAGATATTTTTTGCCCTTGTGAAGCGTTTCGAAAACGTGCATGAACAAAGAGAGAGTATGGGAGAAATAGACACCGAGCAACTTCAGAGTGGGTGAAATAGGTGTGGTTATGTCCTTCAAGGTTAGTAGAGGAGAGCTATCTAAATTACTTGTTCTTAAGCAGAGCAAAGCAAGAAAAACGTTGCATCATTACATTTAGACGCATCAAGATTACTGGATCTGGATGATCAACTCCCAAATTCGTCTACACTACATTGACGCATGAAAGACAAATCAATGGAGCGAGCTCTGCACCCTCAGCATACTTAGATCTAACAAATGTTGATGGTATGAGTAGAACCTTGACACAGAGCAACATAAGAAAGGTGAGAGGATCACACTGCAAAACGCCACAGTCGGTACGAACCAGTGAGGATCTTTTCCCGTTTAACTGAGTACAGTGCATGCGAGGAGCAACATAGGCACGCAACAGGTGGACTCCGTTCAAATTAACTGAGTGGAGCAGCACATATCCCCAAGACTCACGAAAGTATTTGAATAGTCAAGAAAAAGGGGCCCTACGGACCTGCACCTTTTATTCAACACGGACGTTATTGAATGCACAAAGTAGGAGATAGCATCTAGCGCAAACCAATGGGGTTTCTCGTGATGCGCTAACGGTTCGTCTTTCTGGTACAACAGTTTTCTCAAAACCGGATTTGAGTTCTTCTTCCACTTATTTTTGGCTAATGACCCCAAAGCCCTTACCACCATTCTAGCCCACGATGAATCGTTTCAGTACAAAGTTTTTAATACGGGTGTAAGCTCAGCGCCTGCCGCCTGGTAGAAGTTTATAACGGACGCTTTGGTAGTTATTGATGGACAGGCTGCCTATTTGCATAATTTTTGTGTCTGGTCGCAAGCCAGAACAACATGATGAACGTTTACAGAAAGTCCTTCATGGACTCAGTGAACTCAATCTTCATCTGAACACGCGAAAGTGCTTATTTACGCCCCTAAGGTTCACTGTCTAGTACGCATCGTTTCCCGCAGCCTCATTCGCCCTAGTAACGAAAATAACTGCACCATAGCTCCTGTGCAGATACCTAGTAACTTAACGCAACTGAAGTCGTTTCTGGACATTGCCCGTACAACTTACGATCCGTTCGTGATTTTAAAACCAGAACACATCCACTAAGGAAACAAACAGAGATGAGTCCTCGTTTGTTTGGAGAAATGCTCAACCAAATGCCTTCGACAAACGGAAAAGACGGATTTCCTCTGCCCCATTAGTTATCATTTTTAACGAATCATGCTGTACATTGGTGCCAACTAATGTCTCCGATGTAAGCCTCGGTGCTGTTCTTTTCCAACTGCAAAACGGTAAAGAGGAAGTTGTTGCTTATACTTCGCGGAACTGATCAGACTGTGCAAGTAATTACTCCGTCGCCGAGGAGGCTCCCTTTTGTGTGTGGGATTGCAAGAAATGCACCTTTACCTTGTTGGCCGCCGTTTCATTTGGCGAACTGATAATTCCGCCCCCACCATCTCCTCAGGAATGAAGCTAAAAGATTCTACTCGATGCGCGCCAATTGCTTGTAAGCCACATTTCGCATTTTCGACTTCCAAATCGTATGCCGGTCAAGATGGAAAAATCGGATCATGGATGGATTCTCCCGCTTACCTTTGGAATTATAGGATGGAAAAGTGGCACGCGGAGAGGCGGCAATGATGTCCAGCCTTGGATCCGATTTGTCGGCCCTGACACTCAATGAACTACAAACCGAGAATTCCAGAGAGACAAGCATACAGGAGCTCGCGGCTTACATTCAATAGGAATGGACGAAGAACAAAAGATTCCCTATGGGTTCATAACGTATTATGCAATTGGAGAGGAACTTTTAGTCGTAGATGTTTGTGTAATGGGAGGCCCCACATTTGTAGCTACATCGTCGTTGGTCAATAAAATATTTGCATGTGTCCGACATGAGTCCGACATTACATTAAGTGGTTAACCATAGCATCAAGTGTTGAAACATCCGTGAGAAACCGTCAGGCTTGTCGGATGGCGGACATAAGTTCTCTTAATGTTGAGACTCCCGTAAAGCCTATACCATAGCCGATGAGGCCGTGGGACAAAATTGCAATCGACCTTATAGGCCACTTCGACACTGCTTCAGAGAATAAGAAAAATCTACTTGTTGCAACCCGTTGTTATGGTAAATGGCTTGAACTTCTCATACGTGACCAAGTAACCTCTTCTGCAGTGCTACGATGGTTCAGACGTCTGTTCAGTCGCATCGGATTACCAGAGGAGCGGTTACGAATAATGGTCCACAATTCTGTAGTTACGATTTCCAATCCTTCCTCCCAAGTCAATGCAAAAGATTCCCGGATTGCAACCTGCAGTCCCCCAGCTAATGACATGGTGGAGCGGCTTAACCGGTTTCTCAAGCAGGCAATAAAGGCCATCCAATTAGGGGTGGTAGAGTAGGAAGGAGCTGTCTTAACGGCGCTGAGGTTAATACAGAAACTGTGAATGCAGAGCCACAGGGAAAACGTCTGTAGAACTGATGCTAGGAAAACCTTTACGCACCAAACATAATGCTGCACACAACTTATCCTGTAGATCGGGAAGTGCCGAACGGCATAGCAACTTACTAACAATTGTACGCCAAAACCTTG